CAATTTACAATGATTGCACTTTTATTTTCTTGGGCTTTTTTCCGTGGGTTTTTTCGTGGCCATTTTTTCCGCCTACCGTTTTTTGTACTACAATGATATTATGTTATTTTTCCATCTCAACCATTGYGATTTGCGGCTCTTTGAAAATAACGATTTTGCAATTTTTATAGCCCTTTTACACGAAAATGTTCTCGACCCCATATACTTAGTAATAATATGTACAACAATATTTAATAAGCATAATAATTAATGTCAATAATAATAATGTTACATTAAGTAGCTGTCGTTCCTGTCTCGTAACCGTAACAATATTTTAAATATTATTTATAGGTATACTATAAACGTGAGTGTATTATAATAATAGAGGTAGGTATACATATATACGTACCGATGTAGCAATACAGAGGAAAATTTACGAATAATATTACATTGATGACACGATCACTGCAGTGGCGGTAGTTGCACTGGCTGCAGCGAGCTGGTGTGTCGGCGGCGTGGCCATCGAGTTTAAATCAACCAAAAGAATATGTAAAAGCCTCGGCGGTTGATCACCGTGCCGTCGTAACGGGAGAAAAACGACCACAGAGAAACGTAATAATAGATGATCATCAACAGCAGCACGCAAAAGCCCTGAACCTCGACGGGGGTCATGTTGGGGCACACGCGACCTTTTCGGGGTGCGCCGCGGCCGACGGGAGTCTGGCGTCTGCACACTCGGTGCCCGCCACGACGAAGCGACCGACGGCCGACCGGCGACGACGGACCGCGATCGGCGTTCGGCYGGCCCGAACGCTCGACGTCCTGGGACCCTGGTACGAATCCGGGCAAGTGATGCGTCCGTGAACGGTGCGACTCAAAATGCACACGTACCGACAACGGGTGCCCAAAATGTCGGGTAGCTGTCGGTAGACCACGTGTACGCGGGACCCCTTGGCTCGGCCTGCGCACCGGCCGGCGCGTTGGGGCAGGTCATGGTCCGGGCGAGTCCACGTCGGCCGTCGGTGTGAGGGATGGTGCGAGGCCTCCCTGACCGACGAGGGTCCCTCACCCGACCGGCGGCCAATGGATTTGCCCGCGACCAAAGCGCAGCGAAGTGCACGTGCTTATCACCGGTGTGCAACGTCCTTATCACTGGCCACGTTCCGCAAACGGCTACGTGTCGACTGCAACCGTACGATCATAATAAYAACRTTTATTACCTACTYGAATAGTTTCGTTCCAATTCACTGCGGTCTTATGCGCCCCCATCCCGTCCGGTGCACTCWTATAGTCTTATCGTGGACGTGCCAGCCAGAGACCAAAGTGCATTGACAACTTGTGCGATGACATGTGTCAACGACGTCGTCTAGGAGTCTGGAATCGGCTAGATCCACTTCTGATGCAATTGTTGCGACTTCTGTCACATTTGATTGTTTGAAGACGAATTTAGCCGACGCTGGCAACAGGCAGGTACCATACGTCGTTGGTTTGTGATCAAAACATTACCAGTTTTTACTTAGAATTGCGTCAAAATAAATATTAAAATGTTAATCTTGAGATATGATGATTGGTCGTTATTTGAGTTGTTGGTATAGGCCATTAGGCTTGTTGTTCAGTCSTAGGTACTTAATACTTATGCAGACAATTAGCAACTAGCACGGTCAAATACTTACCCTAATAATAACAGATAGTTTGAAGTTGGAGTAATTGTTAATTGTTATTCATACGCTTAGGACTGAAAACCATATAGTAGCGAAATTAGTTTTTTCATAACAAAATAAATGTTTTTAATTATAAATTTAAAAGTTGATGAGTAGCTAATAAATAATGTTGTTAATTGGTTCATACCAAATTAATATATTTATAATGATTGAGTTTAGGTAGCTATTATGATTTATAAATAATTCTTTGCCATAGTTTGTATGCGTTAGACAGAGATACAGATGTTTTACTGACATAAATTATTATTTAATTTATTTAATACTTTGTTCAATTCAACCATATTAAGACCATAAGATTACTTTTTCCTGATTTTAGATAAAATATTACAGTATTTTGGCGTTAATCATTATGCTATAAAAATAAAAAATACCACATATATTTCAATTAATTCAATTAAAAATCATTTCAGGTACGAGTATATAATTRCAATTAAATTGRGCAGATTTAAAATATGTGTAAGAAAATTTAAAATTTAAATTATATGATTATTGTTATTAATAAACATGTTATATAATATAAAATATTCTTCTGTATGTTAATAGCTAACATTTTATACACTCCGCTGTCACAGACGGCATTTGAGTCTTCTGGGGTTTCTAAAGTGGACAATTTATTAACTGTTAATCAGTTAGCACGTCAATTATTGCCATTGAAAGTGACTAATAAAGAAATAGATGCTGGRCTTAAAAGAGTAAGTGAAATATAATATTTCAAATGGGTAATGATTATTTATAAAGATTAATTTTCTAGATATATTGGTTGGGTAATTATACGCAAAAGAAAAAACCAAAACCTGTTGATAAGTGTAAACCAAAAAACCAATTGAAAAGAATACTTGGATTAAATCATCCACCAAAAAATGTTTTGTCATATACTGATGCGATGAAGTTGAATGAGCTTTGGATGTCGTACATGAAAAAAATTGTTAATTTCGATGATCTCCGCAAAAGAGGGTAAAACAAAAAGTTATAACTTTATCATTATTATTCATAACATATTGTTAATATTCTATAATTTTACAGATGGAATGGTACTCCGGGATGTAAACTTTGGGAACAATTTATGACTTCGCTGTATAAATGTGATTTTCATGGTGCTCACATTAAGGTGGTCAGTTCCAAATGTTGTTCATATGTTTTGGTAACAGGTGTTATAATTCTTGAAACAAAAAATACTTTCCAAATCATAGGAGTTGATAATAAATTAAAGAGTGAGTTTCTTATGTTACAAACTATGATTATACCATGATTAAGGCTCTAAAGCTGATTACTTTAAATCAGTTTAAAAAATGCAAATATGACATAAAAATTACAACTAATGGTTTAAAATCAATAAAAATAAATGAATAAAATACAAATTATAAAATCTGTCAAATTACTCGATATGATTGCATTGTATCACCATGATTGAATCAAATTTTAAATGAGCCAACTTCTAAACTTGAAGTCGTCAGGAAAAAAACTAATTTGAATCTAAGCTACTTTAAATTAATGGGGAATGAGTAAAAATGACATGTAACATAAAAAAATACAGAAAATGCAACAAAAAAAAAAATACTAAAGAAAAATTAGTTGTTAAGATTTGCATTCTATTAAAATGTGAAACACATTTTCAACTAAGAAAGCATCATATAAAAAGTTTAAGAAATCACAAATGCTTCTACTTCCGAGTCCTATCTATGATATATTAAATTAATTAAAATTATTTTTGTTTTTGCAGCTGTACCCAAAGAACAGTGTATTTTCGAACTAARACTTGAAGGGTATTTTGTTCAGCTCTATGGTAAACATTTTGTTATCAGATCTAAAGATCGTTCTAAAAAGAAAATAAAAGATAATCTTTTATTAGATCTGTGAAAATTAAGACTACAAAAAAAAAAATCTGAACTTATTGTTTAATAATTGTATTTTCATGTATAAATTAAAATCTGTTTTTTATGCTAATAATTTGAATATTTTTCTTATGCCTACTTAATTAAGATTTAAAATTTTTTAATTGAAATTAGTCATAATGAAAAATAAAATAATCATAGTTTTAAATTTRTAGAACCATAAACACATAAAATATTAAAGGTATTATTAGAGATTAATAAGTACAGTCTAGTTCTGATAACTTGAAGTTGAAGGGATATAAAAAATTTGCTTTGAAATATACATATATTATTTGGTATACCTAAATCRAATTTATCAAAATAAAATTCAAGTTGTAGAGTTTTTCGAGTTATTGAGACTCGACTGTATAAAAGTATTTTACATTTTGTATCATGCAACTACTTATATATATAATTTTGAAAATTTTAAGTCAAACTTTTATTCCTTGATATTAAGAATTTCAATTTAAAAATAAATTATGTTATTTTTAAAGTATGGTTAAAGATAAATAGTTATATTTATATATTGCATCATCATTAATTGTTAAACCTTACTAAATTATACTTAGAGTGAATTCATAGCATTCATTACCTACCTCCCAATACTAATTTTTGTTTAAAGGATTAAAAGAAAAAATTAAACTAAAATCTGATATTAAAAACTTAATAAATAATTTAGTCATTATAAAAGGTAACTGTTAGGTCTAACAAACAGTGCATATAATTTAAATTAATTCAAATTAATTTTAAACATATAAGATAATTTGTAAAAATATTTCATATTTGACTATCACTCTAATATCGTTATTGAAAACTTACATATTACTATATTAGGGACAATATAAATAACACAAATATTCAAATAAATAATTACTAATTTTATTATTATTATTTTTTTTTTTTATTAATTGTTTATGGCATCAACTACATGGTTATTAGCCGGCGTTACATATTAAATTTACATTAATTACTTACATAATTGCTTTCTACTTTAATTTTATTATTATGAATATAGTTTATTTAAACAATTTGGGATATTAAATTAGTTTACAATTTAATATTAATATTCACTTTTAAACTTCACAWTTTTTAACTAAATATACATAATAACTATTATTAATTACTTTAGTAGGGTTTTAGGTATAAAGTATCATGTTTAAATGTAAAAACGTATGGAATATATAAAACAATTTGACTGCCAATACTTTTTTCTATGTTTTGATGAACCAAAATATATGTATTGCTGATCATAATCATTCAAATTTGAAATTGAAATAATCATTTTAATGTGCATTATGCGCTATGTGTTGTTTTATTTGAGATATAAATAATAATTCAATTTTTTTTTAAATTTTAAATTAATACTCTTTGGATACGACATTCATACACTAAAATAAAAGAAATAAATAGTATATTAACCATAACTGTATAATTATATATTATTTTTTTTGTGATATTGAATCAAAAAATTAAGTTTTTAATTAATAGACAATTTTTAAGGTAAGTGAATGTAGTTTAATTATTTATTTACTAAAGTATTGTATTTAACACATAGCATATTTGCTCTAAAATTAAAATTAATAAAAAAATATCGCTAATTATTATTATAATTTTAAACTTGATAATTCAATCATACATGTAAGATATATGTAGATAACTGATTTATGACCAAAATTTATACAATATGAAATTTATATTTTTGTTACTTATCATGTCTCACAAGGGGGGAAGAATGTGAGATTAAATCTCATGGTATATTTTTAAAGAAAAATTATATTATAAATTATTGTACTAAGCGAATGAATGAAAAATTTATGATGTTCAACAGCTGTACTCTAAAGCTAAGTACACAATGATAATAAACTATGATAGTTGTAATCTTGAGTTGTGATTGCATTAATCRTGAGACTATGATGGTTTACATTGTTGCGATCACAGTTTATGTATGTGAATTAAATTTAATAATGTTTGTTTTATTTTGTTATCAAAAGTTTTTTTTACATATATGCCAAAATAATTTACACGACAAATTCTGAGTTACTAGTTTTATCTTCTCAGATTTCTCGGTCACATCTAAACCTTTTAGAATCAATATTTATTATTTTTTTGTTCAAACTTAGAAATTAATAAACTTTAAGAATATCAACTTTTATTAATGTCGTGCTTTTCAACAAAGATGTTGAAACTGTGAATTTGTTTACAGAAACCATTAATAAATATATTATGATTAAAATGTTCATAGTATTGGTGCATTAGTAAAATGAGGGTTTTGAGTTAGTTCAATAAAACCATACTTTTTTATGGCAATTTTAAAGTTAATTTCAAAATTCACTCTATGTGGKTTTTCATTACAAACCTAGGATTACTTTTGGTTCAATAAATGTAATGTGTGAGTGCCAGACACACTATCTACTTGTTTTGGAAAATGTACTAAGACCCAAAGTTTCTTTAATAATGGATAATGGTTTCCGTAAAAAATTCCAACTGTTTAAATAAAAATCAGTATAAAAAAAATGTTTTTAAAATTCGTGAGGGGCATGATAAAATAGATTTTTTAGTTTATTCTTACTTATTTCTAGCCTGCCTAAACTATTTCCTTACCAGAAATATTGTCCCAGTCTCGCACTTCTGAATATATTACATACAACATACATAATGATATATACAAATAYATCATTTTTAAACTACTGTCTACTACAAATTATTATTAATTGTTAAGACACTATAAAAATACATCTTTTGGCAAAAGTGCTTCAAAATTAAAATTCGAAAATTCGAAAATGTCTAAAGTTGCTGTAAGAAACGGCAGTTTGGGTCATTTCAATTCCATTGCTCAATTTACCGAGGACAGAAGTTTCTAAAGTTTGCAGGTTTATGAAACTATGATWATAATAAATTATAACCTCATTAATGGCAGGCTCTATAATTAAAAGCAGATCTCATAATGATTTGATTATAAGAGCTACAGTTTCAGGCCAAAGCTAATCCGAAATAAAATTACCCGTTCGGGCCGTTTCAGTCTTATTGTTAATATAGATAGATCATAGAAATCATTGATTAAAAATAGTATAATACCTACTCAATCATTAATGAAAATGTTATGAATTATAATACAGAATCCAGATACACAGTTAGATAGATTATAGATAATTATCTAGATATACAATAAGTACATATTAAGTATATAAGAATTAAGAATTTCGTCGATTTAAAGGGAAATGGCAAATGGAAATATTTAGTACACAATTCAATAGGTTGGTAATAAGTTGGTGTGTATACTGTATATCAATATGCCATTATTTAAATACTTAAAATAAATAATAAAATATGTTTATTTATTTCTATCAAATATAAAATGTTCACGCCTCACACGTTTTCATTGTCGTAATTTATTCTAATAAATTATAGTTTTGTSCATTTTAATATTTGCATGACATGCGTTGATAAGATAATTGAAATTGTAAAAATTGCTTTTTTGATTGTGTAATTAGACGATTGAATATTATAATAACTCAAGTTCGGTACCCAAACGTATCTATTTATAACTATATTATTATACAACTGCCTCCTGCAGAGTTCTCGCCGCCGCAGCCGAAAGGTGCGTTTATTATTGGTACTTAATAGTTACTATACTTGTAAATCGCTTAATGGTTTCCGTAAAATAACACTTCAATGATTGAGTCACTGTAAAGTATTCTGATTATTTATTATGTTTCGTATGACTGAACAAAAAAGGAAATGTTATGTCTGGTGGATCTATTAATAATATTATAATATATATTTCAGAATCGGCGGATCAACTTATGCAGCATCTTTACAATTTTAATTTAACACGTTCCTGTTCCCTGGTGTTAACACTTCTGTTCAACTTTACCATACGTAGAATTTACGATTTAAATTCCCAATATAATAATGTTATTTGTTTATTTTTATCCAATGATTATGTCAGCAAATTCACTTATTATTGATTAGGTTTATATGTAATATGTTTACGTAGAGCGCATTTTGAAGTTTAATACATACTACATTATGCACTCAGACGACGCCCAAAACAGCTACGTATCTTCTAATGTTGAATATGGCGATGTAATTGATTGATAAATCTCTAAATCTCTCTATAAAGAAACTAATAAATTTGTTGCTAAGTATCTCTTTTTTAATGGTACCTAAGTATATATATACTTTGTATAATAGTTAAATTCAAGAAGATCAAAGCATTATTTGGGGTTCGTGAGTTCTGGACTCATGACAATTTTTTAGATTCTGAATGAAGAGATGAATGTATTGATTTTTTTAAGTTAGAGCATGTTTTTTGTTGCTGATGAAAATAATTCTAGATAACCTTAAGGAACATGAGTAGGTAAATCAATAATTACGACAAAATAATTAAATACGTACATATCTAGGTGCTATTTATAATATATGTAATATTTAAAATGGGTAACATGTATATTGTTTAGGTAAAAGCCAAATAAAAATATTACAATAATTATTTAAATAAATCATTAAGGGTAACACACATAACAAGCTAGACTGCATACAGTTTTATACTTAAATGGCTTAAAAATATAATACCATAATTTAAGTCATTTCCTATAACAAAACATTTTTAACGAATAAATAAATATTCAATTTATATTAGATAACCTAGTGGATTACAAAATATAATATTATGAATTAGTGATAGGCAAGTACTTATCGAAACTATGTGTATGTCATTTGCTACGTTAATCTAAAAAAAAAAAATGTTATATATTATTAACTTTAAATTGTACCTAATGTGTTTACCTAAATACACGTTTATTGGTATCTACGTATAAGTAATAATTAATTAAATGATTAGGTTTACACCTTAACAAATTATTGGTACATTGTTGTTAATAAATTAAAAATAAGCATCGTCTAAGTCAAAAAATGTATGGATTATTTAAGCTAAAACTAAACTAGAAAATAAATAAATGGTTTAAAATGAAATGGTACACGTCAATAAAAATTGTTTGGTAAGTTATCAATAATTATTCATAATGGTCAATATTGATGTATGTATTTGATATTAGCGTGCATGACTTTTGCAATAAGGCCTTCCTCCTTTCGCATAGAAACTCTGTCCTTCCAAATTGACCTTACATTTCTATWAACAATCATAAACATTTTCAACAAAAAATATAAAATAATTGTCAATTGTGATTATCAAACAAATCATGATTCACGTCCTATAAGAATGACAAATAATCAATAAATACGTACCGAGCAATTGAAGCACGGACTATGATAATTGTTATTTAAAGCTTCGACCCAACGGTCACCAGCCTCAATTGGAAAACCACAAGCTATGCACTTAGTCGTGAACAATTCATTCCAATCTACAATATAGGTAGGTAGTAAATTAATAATAGTTGTATTTTTATCACCTATTAGGTATACAATACATTAGTGTTATATTTATTTTTTAATCGAAATAATAACTCACCATTTTCACAATATGGAAGACTATCTTCCAAAAAGAACGGGCTGTTACCGAAAAGCTTACCGCAATAAGTACAGTTGAAGCATTCTGGATGGAATTGTTTTCCAATGGCATTCAGGCAATCCTATAATTACATAACGATACGATGACAATCATTGCTAAATTATCCATATTAATGTAAAATCATTCAATAGATCAATATGTTACCCCTTTGATTTTCTTGGAGCACTTGGAGCACACAGGAGCGATATATTGCTCAAAACAGTATTCGCAGTACAGGCCGTTGTCTTCCTCCACAAAACCAATGTCCTGTAATGGACGTCTGCACTTTTCATTTGTACATACAAAATGTTCCGGACACCAAATCTTGCCGAGAGCGGTAATAAATGGTCCTCTGTTTAAATAATAAAATATTAAATAAAAACGTAACTGTAGACGCCAGTATTAGTGCAAAAACAAAAAAAAAAACTAAAAACTAAAGCAAAAGCAAAAGCTAACAAACCTTGTAATTTGAGTTTGACAACAATTACATTCGTGGTGTTTAATTATCTTTGGTGCATTGCTATCGATGTCTTCTGTAATTGTAAGTTTTTCTAGTCCTGGGAGATTATTAATAACCGTGAGAAGCAAACAAATAACAATAATGATATGTTATAAAAACCAAAACATTGTTAAACAAAACAAAACCAGTGCTGATTTTTCTAACACTAATATCTACTGTTTTTCTTACCTTGACCAGTTGACCATAAATAAAACTGTAAGTACTAACTATTGCACACAAAAACAAACAAATACCCTAGATCACAGTATTATTTACCTGATGTATAAATTGCACTGTCCGCATAACGGCACTCTAGCACCCGGGGTTAAATTTTGTGGGTTCAGCACTCCACGACCCCTCCTGGGTGCTGTGAGACCAGCAGAGGCACCAGCTCTTCCCGTCGGCTGACCACCTATATCGGGTATGGGTATAGGTGTTGGAACACATTTAGGTTGTTGTTTTTTTGTAAGACATGTTAATTTTTTAGATAACAATGCAGCAGGTAATGATGATTTAGGCATAGGAGCGACCGGTTCTGCTGAAGTATCGTTAGTTATGGAAATTTGTTCTGTTAATGGAATAGACTTTTTAAAGGATTTAGGTATAGGAGTAGATTTTGGAGTGGCGATGACAGACGTGCTATTAGATGAAACGAGTTCAGAATCGCTCGATTTCGTGACATCGAGATCAGCGTTTTTAGATTTATTAAAACTCCCATTTAAAGATGATGGCTCGTAACCTAAGGCAGGAGCAACTTTAGAATTTACATGAATTTCTTGTTTTAAAAACGAAGTATTTTTAATAGATGTCTTTGGTGTAAACGAAGAAACTTTTTCTTGAATTCCTGGACCTATTAATTTTGCACAAGATTTTTCAGAGGGGGTATTTCGATGAGGATTTTCTGGTATACTTTGTTGATAGCGTGGGATATCAAATGGCTCATGGAGACCTGAAGCGGTAAAGGGATGTCTAGGTAAGGGATYAGATGGTTTTGATACCTCATCTATTTCTTCATTTATCACTTCTTTTAGCTCTTCAAGTTTGGGATCGTCAAAAACCAATTCTTCTACATATTCAAAACTAGATTCACTACGGTCGAAATCCCCTGCTGCTGTGGACCATTTAAGCTCGTCCGATACGGGAGGGAAAGATTTCAATCCTAAAATAGCTATTTGTTCTTCCTCGGAATCAATAGCTGATGCAGGAGAATATATCAATGACCTTGTCATTAGTAAAGGAGCCACGGGTGTTTTTTTATTATATCCATGCATATATCGAACCGGGTTGTTCCCTACTTGTCTTGATGACGTTGTTGATTCGGTTAATTTATAACTACGATCGGGAGCTATTGCTAACGCTTCTGTCATGGTCATTGGTCTTTCTTCTTCTGTGGGATTTTCTATTGGATTTTTAATAAATTCTGAAGCGTCCACAAAAGTTGGGAGTGGGGAATAACTTCTCTCGGGAGCAGTTTTTAGTGCAATGAGCATAGGCGATTCTGATCTATTTTCTTCTGCTACAATCATCGATTGTTTCGATTTAATTTTAGGTTCAGTAACAGTAGTATGAGAATGCATTTGATCTTGTATGATGTCAAGTATTTCGGGTTTCGGACTACAATGATCATCAACATTTTGAACGTTTTTAGATTCTACAACTTCTAAGCATTCAACAGTGGATCGAGAAATCGTGCTTTCCATTTGATGAACGGTAGAATTAATTAAATTTCGTGATTCGGTTTCTTCATTAATTTCCTGTTTTGGTTGCGGTGTTGAGGTTTTTGACCTACTGTAATTTTTATACTCCTGTGGAATTTCTGGTGGAAATATTATCAAATGAGTAGGTGAAATGGATCTGACATTCTTATTTGGTGGCAAAAGAGACCGAATTTCACAAGGCACTTCTGCAGTAGAAGGTTCTATATCATAGTAATTTGGAATTGGTGATTCTGACCGTTCTTCTTTGGATGACTCTATCAACATTTGCGTGGATATCGAAGCACTTAACGATTGTTTACATTGGTTTAGTGTACGACTTACATCTTTGGCACATGGTGTAGGACATATACTAGAGTCAGTAGTTAATGGTTTAGAAACCACAGGACAAAATGCAGAACCAGTCGAAGATTTAGGTTTTAAGAAAGGTAATCTTGGTTGGGAGTTAACAGAATTTTTAGACTCATCTAAAGTTAGTATTTTAAGGTACAAACCAAAATAAAAATTTTAATTAATTTTTTATACAATATAAATTATAAACAATAAAAAGCGTACTGAACAAATTATTATGATTTTAATTAGGAAACCTATATTTAAGCTATTTATGGTATTCGTCAATATTTAATTATTTTCAATTGCTTTTTTTTGCAAATTATTTTATCAAAATAAAAATATTAAATATTACTAACAATAATTATAAATTTAAAATTTAAAAAAAATTTAGAAGTGTTTCATATTAAAACTGTTGGTATTAACTATTAAATATTTAAATGCGGTCAAAAACTGGTGTAATTTAATATTTTTGAATTGTGGTGAGTGGTGACATTTTAGACTACTCTATGGCGTTCGAGTAAATGCAGGCGCTGAATGAGGAGACGAGTTATTTGAAAAAAACGGAATAGCCTTACACAATTTAACAGTACTTGGATGGTTATTTTTATACTTATAATTACTATCAACAGTTGAAGTGGACTTGTTGTCAATATTTGCTACAGCTTTAAAGTGACTATTTGACGATCTATTTAAAAATGACGTGTCACTTATTAAAGTATTTGGTGTAAAAGCTGACACCTTATTTTTAATCCCTGGTCCCATAGACCTATTAGGTGTTGATAAGTTATCGGAAGCTGATGACTGTGTCGGTTTTGCTATGTWTTGTTGATATGGTAGATGGCTCAATGACATATTTTTATTTGAAGTAGTAAATTTATGCTCGGGAAGAATTTGTTTGTGTTCTTCAAAATTAGGCACACGAGTAATAAATGTCTCGTTGTAGTTAGATTTACTTTCTAATGGTTCGTAAGGACCAGAAATCGATAAATTATCAGAAGAAAATTGAGATGATTTTAATCCTAAACCTGTTATTGGTTTTTTTTGTGAATTTATGTTTTGTATTTGTTGAGGTAACTCTTTATTAATTTGTAACAATATTTCAGACCTTTTATTATTATATCCGTGCATGTATCTAACAGGATTATTTCCAATAGGCCTTGTTGAATGTTTTATATCAGATGATCCAAAATTAATATTTTGAGTTTGGACATTTAAAACTGTTTTATTAACTTCATTACCGGGATCTACTTTTGGTGGTGATGATAATTCAGAAGCATATATAAAAGTTGGAAGAGGTGAATAACTTCTTTCGGGGGCTGTTTGCAGTGCAGCTACTAATGGAGACTCCGGTCTATTTTCATTTTCTAGAGGTAAAGATATCCGAGGTGCTGGTTTAATAATCGGTTCAGTTAGAGCAACTGGAGTAAATGGTCGATCGGGAGCTACTTCCATTGCTATGCTAATTGGTCCTTTTAAACCACGAAATTTAGGTAAGGAGTTTAGTTCTGCATGTTCAGGATATTCATCTGGATATTGAGAAATATTTTCTGATTGAGATTTTGTTTTAAAAGCAATCGTTGTTACTGGTCCGTCCATAACAATGGATTTATTTTTGGGATCTGGTGTATGTGGCTTGGAGTATGTACGATATTGAGATGACATTTCAGGAGGAAAAGTGATTAATTGATTTGGTGAAATTGCTCTAACATTATTATTTTGAGGTATTAAAGTTTTTACTTCATGAGGTGCCTCAGCAGAAGTAAAATCTTGACCTTTATCATCTGGAACAGGTGATTGGGGTCTCCCTTTTTTAGTAGATTCTATTAGCAATTGATCTGCAACTGAGTCATTTAATGAGTGTTTTAATTCAGTCATTGTACGACACACTTCTTGAGAACAAATAGATGCGCGTTTTCCAGAATCATATGACACTGTCTTAGATACCACAGGACAAAAAGCAGAACCGATCAATAGTTTTGGTTTTAGGAAAGGTAATCTTGGCAAAGAGTTAGTTTTGTATTTAGGTTCATCTGAAGTTAGCGAATTAAGGCAGGACACCAATAAAAATAAAAATTGATTAAAATGCCTTCAATTTTAGAATACAATTTGCATATTTATAAAATTGTAAATATGTTTTTTATATTATCTATATTCTAWACCCTATTTCAAATTTAAAGGACTCTATTCATTAGCATAAGTATTCTGTTGCTATAATATTTTAGCGAATTATTGTAATTAAAACTAAATAAGGTAATACATTTTATGTTCTGACTATATTTTATAAAATAATTTAATTCAAACAAAAACGGTCAATTAAAAAAAAAATAAGCTTTTAAAATMGTCAAAATCAAACAGAAGCTTAGAATATTTGTACAGATATCTAAGAAGTGAATACGACTGAGAAAGGACGTGGTTTGGAGTTGAATGTTTTTATGTCTGAAAAATTTAAAATAATATAACTTGTATTATATTTTAAGAGTTATGATAAACAATTATTAGTGTTGTAAATTTATTATAATTAATAACTATGTTTTTTTTAAATATGTATAAACCGTTTTTGCTTATCATGAAAAATTATTACTATAACACTATTAACGTATATAATATATTTTGCTTCAGTTTAACACAGTCAGAATATAATATTTATATTAACTACAGTTAATAAAAGAAACGATTCCATAATCACCCATAGAAATCAATCAAGTAGTTTAAGTAAGTTAATACATTAAGAACCAGTTACTTTAATAAGAAAATTTGTGTAGATGTTAATACATATTAAATCTGTTTTCAAAATAAAATATAAATTATGGAATGGTTTTTTTTACACCTATGACTTCTATGCGCATCAAAAGCTATAGTTAGAACTAATGATATTTTTACCTGAAGTAATAGATTTTGTTTTCAATTGAGAGTTGAAGCCTACAAAATAAATGTTTATAGGTACAATTATTTTAAGTTACACTATATTATTTTAAGTATGAGAAATAAAACTATGTTTTTCTAAATTTTGGCTCATTAAAATAACCATTATGGATTTGTGCATTTTCACTTAGGATATAATATTTATTTTGTATGTATTATAAGATTTGTAAAAGTATATATCTCAACATTTCTGATATCTTACTAGGCACCTATTTCTAACAAAAATATATTTGAATATTAAAAACTTTATTTAATAAAAAAAACGAAGGACTTTAAATTATATTTCTTAAATATAGTTGTAAGTTGTAACAATTTTTCACTACACTAAACAATATTATATAATTGTATACCAATCTAACTTTAGGTGTTTAATTCGTCCAGTAATTATTATTTATTATATACTCTCAAGACTTAAAATATACTATTTTTAACTTGTAACACCTATGAATTTAAACTGTTGTTCTAAATAATACGGTTTTAGTATGGTTTTAGCATATAGTAAAAAAGTTAATAACTTACCGGTTTGAACTTGGCTGTATCCACCAGAGAACTTTGGARGAGTTGGTGTTTGTTTTGGTGCTTCGTATGGTTTAGCATTTGAAAAAACTTTCGAAGGAGTCTGGAAAATAATTTATTTAAAAAGTTTGTTTGGTTATAAATAATGATGAAAAATTACTAGGTGCATTAAAACATTGTCGAAAAATATTGCATTTTGTAAAGCATTAATAACACAAAGTTACAGCGTGTTACAACATTTTAATAACCTATATCAATAGTAGTATAGWAATACAGTACAGAAATATTAAATATATTGCAGACGTCATACTGTCATACTGATGATATGAGTGATACGGTGATGATTTTTAGATAATAATTCTTTAAAGTGTAAACTGTAAGTCAAAGCTTGCTAGAACACTTTAATTGTATATAGTTATGAAMTAATTTCAGTGGTGCAACTGTGCAACCTGTAAATATAAGTAATATAACACAACTCTTCCCAAGAATTTATATAATTTTGTATTTTATTGTGTTGATATGTTATGTTTATTACAAATGTATACCAAAAGTTTTTATTTGATTTGTAATAATTATTACTATTTCTAACTGTGTCACTGCCATGGGCAATGTCACTAACACGATCGACTATATCATAGGTATAATGTATATCAAGCAATAACATTAATCAAAAACATTTTTATCCAACCAAATAATAACTGTTATCTAGGTAACTATAAAAATTATAAATTTAAAAATTTCATTGTTTTGTTATTTAAATACAAACATAAATACGTTTTAATTATAACTTTCACTCGATTTATAATCAAAACGGTTAGTATTGACATTTTCCACATAATATAATATTATAGTATTGATCTACCTGCTGTTTGGGGGCGTTTACGTGACTAGGAGCTTTTGGAGCCTGTATAGTAAAAATATTTTTCATAAAATAAAAATCTTCAATTTATAAGAAAAATATATAATATTATAATAACATAACAAGATGTTAAATATTTCAATATTGTAAATAATTTCTTGTTATACATATTCTATCATAGGTACACTGAAAACTGAATTAAATAAATATATAATAGTCTAGTCCAATCCCTTCAAATGTTGTAGACCCCAAAAACAATGCATTTTTGTCAGTACCTTATAGGTAGTAGACAGTATAACTTAAGTTTTAACTATATAAAAGTATAGTAAACACTTTATGTATAGCATAATAAATAAAAGTTTAAATTTTAAAGGTAAAATAAATGTTTTGCTATTAGACATAAGACAAGTGTCGATCTATTTTTAAATTATTATAAATTTGTATTTAGGTTTTGTTATACAAATATGCATTTATATAGAATATAGATTCCAAAAATGTAACTTACGTGGAATGGTATTGGCGATAAAGTGCTTGGTTGTGGCGATTGCAGGGGTTGTACGTCCTTTGGTTTAGTTGGTATTATATTGAACGATCCTAAAGGCGGATTTGAGCCTCTGTTAAAAAATAAAACCGGTAAAAATAACAATTTATTACTAAAATATCACTAAATAGTAAATTGTGGATAGTTACCTATGATGGATAACATTTTTTTGGGGTTTAATTTGATTAATCGAGAACTTACACAATTTTAATAGTATTAGTAAATTTAAAATTACTATTTTAAGTGATAATATAATTACTTAGGTATACCTATACTAACGAAAAATTATTGATTATAATTATTAATAATAAATAAAATCAATAATAAAATATTAGGTGTGATGAATGTATAAAACTAAAACATTAAATATCTATTTTATTATTTCATAGGAATTTTAATCTATTATTGATCATTAAAAAATGATTCATTCAAAGCATAATTTATGAGATAAATAAAAATATATATTTATTATTAAATTTATATTAGAATTTTTCATTGAACAATATTAACCTACCAACAAAACAACTAACAAGTAGTGTTTACATAAATATTTGACTCAAAATTAACTTGAAGATATTTTCGAAAATATCTTGTCGTCGTCATTTGCATCTTTTCTGTAGTTTTAAAACGTGTTATATTTGAATGTTAAGTTCAAAATTAAATTATATTAGGTATATAGTGATTCAGTTTTCAATTGAATCTCTACAATTCGTTATTTTTGGTAAGCTGAAGAAACAAAATTGATTTTCTCGGAGTTATGATAGTATACCTAGACTAAGTTAGAAAAGTTATTGATGACATGATTTTTTTTTTTAATGTTTAATTCTAATGTACTATGTACATTATGGCTACACGAAATAAGTAAATTTCATGTCATGACTTACGGTGCTACGGCAACTGGTTCCAAATTTGGTGCCGGTGGATTTTGTCTGGCAACCATTTTGGCATGAATGTCGCAATACAATTTGTTGTTGATATTGAAATAGCCTACGTTTTTCAGAGACGATCCACAAGTGGCGCATTTAAAGCACTCAACGTGCAGACTTTTATCTTTGATGCGTACGAACACACCACTGTATTAAATTTAAACTTTTATTATTTATACAATAATACGACCAAATATAATAATAATAAAAWTTTTTTAAAAAAACACAAAATGTATTAGTGCCACGCGTGTTATAATTTGCTAAAAGTGGTTTCGGGATGGGTTTCAATTATGTCCAAGGAAAATCCATCAAATCTTACATAATATCATTTCTGCAATCGCTGCACTCAATAGGCTTAACATTCTCCACGTCCACTTCTTTCAAAGGAGAACCCAAATATGGATCTCGTTGTTCGGGCATGTGCATGTTTGCTGCTATAGGTGTCATAGGGCGCGGTGATGTAGCACGGCCCCCTATCGCATGGCTTGAAGCCGAGAAGTATGCGAATTTCGATTGCAGGTCTATTGTTCCAAAATAAAATAAATTTCTTAACCTCTAATTTCCGAAATGCGAAAATCAGAAATTATAGACTTATCTAAATACGTGATAACAAGTACAATATGCTAAATAAGTTTTCGAGATCAATAAATGTCCACCCTATACCACATTATCTTTATCAAAGCGTCACCATAAGCACCAAGCACAGTACACAACAATTCACATAACTTACACTATGAGTCTCTCACAATCAGCACAAATATTTTGATTGGGAGCGCTTTGTGGTGCTTTTGGTTCGGGCGCGGACACATGTCGCGTTGCATTTTTGTTCATCGTATCGACAACAACATGTCGATTAACTTCTGTGTATAAAACATTTTGAACGTCATAGAGAAAATTATACGACAAAGATATTTTCTTTATACATGTATCTTTATTCATCGGCGGTTACGTCATAAAAATGCCATTGATTATCATTGATTATTTACCTGTATTTAAATCCCTTGGTTCTTTATCGGCTTCTTGTACCATTCTCAACACTTCGCTGTTATTAGCTTCGTAATTCTTTTCGTTTTTTTTAAAATTGACTCTGTAATTTTTTTTAAACTTAAATTATTATATATTAATAAAGTTTGTAAAACGTTTACCAACCCTAATACTCCCCCGGCTAATACTTCTGCTTGAGCCGTAAGCGTCTCTGCAATGTTCTCCTCGCTGTAAATGCCTACTGGTGTGTTGTACTGTTTATTTACAATAGCTTTAACAGTTCCAGAATCATTATTGTATCCACCCGGATTAACCTACGAACATTTCCTTAGTGAAAATACACCTATGGCTTTAAATGAATTGTTTATTTACTTTAGGCGATGAAGCTCCGCTATATGGTCGTGAAACAGAATTGTGCGAAGAACCAAATTCAGGAGTTTGTGGTCCAACTTTGGCCAAGGACGTTTTTGTCAGTATTTGTGGAGATTGGGACAGACGGCTGGGCACTGGACTTGGTCCAACAGGTGTTACTGATGGTTTCCATGTACTTGTTCCACCACTAAAACAGAAGCAAGTGTATATTTTTTTATGCTCTGCAATTAAGTGTTACTGATAATGGSTCATATGAACTTAAATTTGTAAATTATATWATTATTACATTTTTAAGCTTATATACARTTTAACTTTTTTAGGCATTATATAGATTTATAATGTAAAATATAAATAATTGTTTACAACAATGGGTTAACTTATGAAATTAGTAGTGCTATTCTTAATAATTTAATATAATTATATTAAGAAAATAATAAAAAAAWTTARTAAATTAAAATCTCAAGTGTACTAAAAATACTTTCATATACCTACATCTTATAATTTATGTATATAAAATCTTTTAATTTGAGACTATGGAAATCAAAATTGAATTATTAAAAAGGTATATTTAACTTGGTTAAGACATTTATGAAAGAAAAAATATTGTCAGTATTGTCACCCCTAATTTATTATTAACCAAGTGAACACGAACAATATACAATATTATGCATACACGTGTAATATTTTTTCTTTCGCGTGATTTATATAAACTTGGCTCTGATCCGAAAAGAATATTATTTTCAGTAATTTCAAAGAATTTTTTTGACAAGACACATTAGTGTTATTACTTCCTTTTAGAAATAGAATTCACTAAACATATTCTAAGATATATATTATATTTGGACACAGACCAACCATATATAATATATTATATACAATTCAACGTCACAATTAGATACCTACTGCAGTATTACAATATTTAAATTATAGATTATATTTAATTTGTGGATGATTAGTAAAGAATAAATATTTAAATTTCCTAAAACAATACGATTAAAGACACTTATTATTATAATAAAAATGTATTTAATATAATACTGAATAAAAATGATTTAACTAAATTAATCATATGTATATTTTAAATTTATGTAATTACTAATTTGTGTTATCACAAATAAGCGATTGAAGCAAGTCGTAAATAAAACTATGCATCTATAAATTTTAAATCTGCCTGCACGT